CCAAGTCCTTGCACAAGACTAATCAATATACCATATCTCAGAGTTGCTTGGAGAGAAGTTGCATACGAGTATTTTGCAAGAGTTTCATTTGTAAAGGCATACAAAGTCCTAATGTAAGAGACCGCCTGCACAATTTCAAAATAAACCCTTTTAAGCGTTAGAAACTAACACAGGACGGACACAGTAAACTAACCAGAATGGAACGGACCAGTAGGGGATACATTTCAAAAGAATTTCAACACATAAACAGATTAGTGGGCGTGAAATTGCCATGCATCTAAATTGTCGCAATATTCAAGTTATGGATGCCTAAGAAGGGTTAGAAATGCATCCTAACATTAAAAAACCAAAGTCATGCCTTGCAGGTATTAAACCAACATAAGTAACCTAAGAATTCTGACCAGTCTAAATACAATCTAACCCTCGTAGATTCTGCCTACTATGTTCTGAACTTAAAACAAGTTTTCATTTTAGATTAAGAGAACAATAAAAGATATCAAACTTTCCACAGCAAACATCAACTTTAATATTCACAAGTCACAAATATTTCTTGTTATAACTCCAATGCTTTAATACCATAGTCGGAAACATTATGAAGTTCAATGCTTGCAACAGGATTTGACAGTATATTTATTATGTCTCCCATACACCAAACAATTTTAATACCTGTTCAGCAATGCTGGCTGCTTCAGCATATGCATCTTGAATATTCTCAGCAAGTCTGTGGAGAAATATATTTGATATGCCTCCCGCAGCAACAATGAAAGGACCAGTGGCTAACGTAATGAGCGCAATTTCCCAACAATTGACAAAACCGATAACTAGACCACTGATAAACGTTGCCATGTTATGAATGTAATTTCCAACCTGCGAATGTCCAAGATCACAAAGATTAAAGAAATGCCAGAAGATGTATCACTCCTTACAAAAATAAAGATGTTTGGAAGCAAACTTGAAACCAGAAAAAAAAGTTAAACATACTTTTTCGCTTAGAGCCGACTGAATGAGTAGGACATCACTCAGCACTTGGCTTACTATATCCCCGTTATTCCCATATGTATCAAAGAAACTCATATCCTGATTTAGTAGTACTTGGACATACTTTGACCTGATCACAGCAGTCTGCCTCTCTCCAGTCAGTATCCAGCAAGACACCTCTACAACAAAGGAACAATTAATTATGGTGGCGGCTAAAGAGTATAATTGCAATGAAGGAAAGGACACAGCTTAACTATTAATGCATAGATTTTAGCAAAGGTGAACTTACCAATCCAACCAGATATGAAAACACCCCCAGCAATGTATACAATGGTCAGCGAAAGCTGCACAAAAAGACACATTATATCAGGATCGTTGCCAATGGTTACATGAATCCAGGTTAACTGACAGATAAACCTCAAAATCATAAAATGGAAATCCAGAATAGCATACAAAGAAAATCCTAGAGACGAGAAAACGAAAGCTTAGACTTAGAACAAGAGTAGCCTTCTTTTGAGCATGTGTGAAAAAAGAGGATTTATTGTTCAAAGTATCCTCCACAGCCAAGTCAAGAACAGCTCCTTTCCAGGGTTAATACACAATTTAGACGCAGAAACTAAATGAAACCCAGTATCCTTACTATAATTCCAAATACTAGCACACAGAAATCATGAAACAGAAAAACCACTAACAAGCCAACATGCAAATCCACAAAGTTGCCACATGTAAAGTAAATTAATCAGAGAATTTCAGGATAAATCATATCAATGCTAAAGATACTAGTATACTACAGGTAATGTCACAAATCATATCAATGCTAAAGATACTAGTATACTACAGGTAATGTCACAAATCATATCAATGCTAAAGATACTAGTATACTACAGGTAAAATCATAGCTTGTCACTACCCACTACACTCTCTTATTTCAATGAGTGCCACAAACTCTATGGAGATAACAGCCCTGACATGCTAACCTCTTCACCAAACGTTCAAGAACCTCGCGGTCGCGGGAAGGTTACCCTAATGTGGAAACGCACTAAAATTACAAAATCCCACCCCTAAAGCTAGATTCGTTTGAGTACAAATCGCAAAACTATATACTAAACTCTCAATAGCTCCAACAAGACAGACCAAAGCTTTACCATACAAAATAAAAAAGGAGTGGGAAGTTCGTCCAGCTTATATAGAAACCGAATCCAGAAATTGAAGACTCAAAACACCTAAATAAACCTTCAATTTCATTTCCCTAAGCTCACTCAGCTAAACGAACTATGAGAATTACGAATTCTCTAAAGCAACAAAAGCGTATGCAAGCTGACATACCTCGACAAGGCGATTGAACTGATCCTCAGGTATCCGGTGACCCGACTCAGTGGTGAAAGCAAGGACCTGAATAATTTTGGCGAAGTAGTGCAAGTAGACGATTAGCGCAGTGCCATGTGCAGCAGCAGCTACAGATCCAAATACCATAAGCACCCAATCGAACCGATCGGCGCAAGCGAAAAGCTGAGAGAACGGAACAGCTGCAGGAGGAGGCTCCATCTCCTCTTGCTCCTCCATCTCCTCCTCATCCTCCGCTTGCGCCGCCATGCCCGTGCCACCGTTCTCGGCACCAGGATCGAGGTAAGGAGAAGGAGACTCGGGAGGCTCGGAGACCTCGGAAACCGGAGTTAACGGCTGTATATGCGGCGGAGACCAACCGAACAAACCCCTGGAAATCATCATCTTTAGCGACGGGGGCAATAAACCACCTCCGTCTTCTAGGTTTAAGGATCCTCGGATTTTGCTAATCTGAATTCTCACCGGATCTGCTATAAAGCTTTAGAGAGGAAGGAGGGAGGAAGAAAAGTCTTGGAATCGGCGAGCGAATCGTTTCCGGTAATATCTGTTTTTCCTCTTTGTTGTTGAGATTCTGATTTTGATTTTAATTTTAATTTTAACAGAAAATCATTCGTATTTTTGGATTTTCGAAATGAAATGAAGAAATGGGTCAAAGACTCCAAAAGTGAAAAGACAGACGACAAGTCTTGTGTGTGTATGTGTGTCACCTGATGTAACGCAAGTTTTCTTTTATTACTATAGTCTTATTTCGTATAATTACATTTTTCTCAGTATGTAAATACACGTGGGAGGTTTGCTAACGGTCAACTACGGCGACGAGTTTAATAGAAAAAAAAAATATTTTATTTTACAAAATGTCTAGGAATAATCGTAAGAAAAAATGTTGAGTTTATCTCTATTTTCTGTACGTTGTTCGTTGATAATATATGTTTAAAGGCATAAAATTCACCTTTCAAAGAGTCTCGAACTAGAGAACAAAGTTCAATTTCTATTATAAAAGGGATGATCCAACTATTTACTGTAAGTTTACCACAAACTTGATCAACTTTTTACTGCCAAATGAACACAAAAAAAACTAGATAATGGTTAGAAAATTTGCAATTGTAAGTGTAACGGCCCGTTAAGTTTTGATTTAGCTTAGTTCAGTGTTTTGGAAAAGAAAATGTCGATTAAAAGTAATCTTCGCAATCTCAAAGAGTAGTCGCATGTTAAATTTTCAGTCCTATTTATGCAAGAGATTAAATATGCGACGCTCTAAGAAAATGCCTAGATGGACTGGTCTAGATCGGACCAGGTTACGCCACTGTTACCATTGTTAGAGTAACTAGCGGAAGCGATGAAAAACAGAGTATCGTACCTTCGTCGGTTCGGTGACGTACTTGTCACGGATTCGACTGAGAATGGATGCAGAGATCGAAAAGAGATCACAAACGGAAATCTTCCTCTTACCACAGTTCAAGTGCCTTTCCTCTTGATGTCTCAAAGCCTTCTCTCTCATTATTCTCTCTGTTTTGTGCTCTCTCTCTCTTTTTTTTTGCGTTTTCTGTGTCTTGTGTCTTCGTGAAAAGTCATGTATATATATACTTAACCAAAAGACACTTAATGAAGAGTTACAAACAAACAATCACATATGTTCATATCAAGTAACTTCCGGTTTATCAAACCGGTTTGGTATGCTGCCAAATCATGGGCGCAAACCGACCATAAACCAACAAGGGAAGAGAAGGGTGCTACGACAAGTGAGACTAGCATTACTCAGTGGGGGCAGGTATCATTTAGACAGTATGGGTGGAGTTTCTCTTTTCTTTTGCCAGTGCATTTGATCTGTTCCCTTTTGTTAAGTGTCCACCTTTTCTCTTTTCGAACTTGCGCACGTAATTATTTTTTTTAACTTTTTCCTTAACAAATATTGACTACTATGTTACTATGTTAGGAAATAAATAAAAAATAAAACTTAAAAGCAGTTTATATTAAATAGTATATGTTGATTTTTTTATTTTACTAATTTAGCTTATTAGAGTTTGGGAGGGAGACAAATTAAATGTATATTGTATTAGGAAATTGCATAGGACGAGAATCTTAACTGTCCATTTTTATTGGATCTAGCTGTTTCAACGTTCACCCGCATTTGGATCTCGTGAACTTCAAGTTATCAAAATCCGTTTACACTGCTTTTTCAAATATCTATTTTTTTTTAATCATTTTTCTACGGAAATGAGACTTTCATTTTATGCAAATAAGATATCAACATATTCATGTTTACTTCAATTGAAAGATACGAATATATTTTTCAATATATATGATACAAAAAGAGTCGTTGTATTATAGTGGTAAGTATTTCGGCCAGTCACGCGGGTGACGCGGGTTCGATACGGGGCAACTGCGTTTTTTATTTATTTATTTTTCCATTCTTGCCGCTCTGGCCCAATATTCTACTTATATAAAACGATAATTGTGCCGCCGTTTTGGGCCTTCGCTTCAATTATTCGGGTGGGTCATATGGTTGGTTGGGTAATTCGTTCTCCGAGGTTGGGCATAAAGGCGGCGACGGTTTTGCAATCAATTTCCGTCCGAATCTTTTTCTTCTCCGAAATCTTTCTTCGTCGTCTCCGAGCCGAGCTTTCTTCGTCGTCTCCGAGCCGAGATTGTTAAGTGTTCTTCTTCAATTTCTTTCAGAAATGCAGAATCTCCAAGCCGACTTACTTCCTGTACACCAAGGAGTCGCCGGGATTTTAGAACGATCCGCAGCAGAGTGGTTGACAAAAGACGATCTGATCACCCTGTTTAACCACCATCGACTTCATCCTTTGCCGCTCTCTACCGTCGTCGCTGGTCCTGCACCTCTGAATGCAGGAATTTTCATCTACAATAACAAGCCAAGGTTCACGGATCACTATGATTGGATAGATGTTGAGGAAGATAGAAGAAGAAATTGTCGATCATATCCTCTGGGAAACAACCAGGCTCCTAGGATCAGGTTTACAGAAGCGTCATAAACAGCTTCCCCGATTAGCGACTTCTTTCGCCGGACACACCACATTCATGCAATCCCTCAAATTCAACTCCAGGATCCTATCTACAGATGTGCAATCGTCCATTATCGACTGATAAACCACGCTCCAGTTGCTCCAGTTGCAAACGTAGAAGATGATGCCACGGACGATGACGAAGAGGAAGCCGAAGCGGAGCAGAATCATGATGTTGAGGAAAATACTGATTCATCAGATTCCGAGGACGAAGAAGATTCGGAGGACGAAGATCCTACATATCAACCTCCCAAATCATCTCAGGTGGTGATTTAACTTCTTTTGTAACTCTCTCGACTAGAAGTCGCAACCAAATCTTGATTTGAATTGATGTTTTCATCGGTAAGTCTTTGCGCGTAGTTTCTTGTTTTTCTTTTCACTGATTGTTTCACATTTCTCTCTCGCAGCTCCACCTCTCGGGGCTTTTCTCTCGTTTTGGGGTCGGAGAAATTAGGGCTTTTCTGGCTGTTCTGTTAATGGCTACGACGCAAGGGCAGCAGACGGCGATTGACCCGGCGGTTCTGGATGATATAATCAGGCGGCTCACGGAGATCCGGTTAGCTAGACCAGGGAAGCAAGTCCAGCTCTCGGAGGCGGAGATCAAACAGCTCTGCACTACAGCAAGAGATATTTTGCTTGAGCAACCCAATCTGCTTGAGCTTGAGGCACCCATCCAAATCTGTGGTACGTTGATTTAATGTCCTCCGGAATTTGATTCTAGGGTTCGTAATGTGCTCGAAAGTGTGAAATTGTGTATAAATCTCAAGCTCAGGCGCTCTGAGCGTGTTTTGGGATTGTGTAGTTGAATGTTGACCATTGTGAAACTTCCGTTTCCATGCTTAATGCGTGTGAATAGGCAAATTAGGCCATTGATTGTTGTTCTTAAGCAATTAGAATCAGATTGAGAAATGTTTTGGCTTTGAGTATGAAATATAATGTTGTTGAATAGAGATGTTCTCAGATTAGAAAACTTGTTACTTTCTTGGAAGTTTGGTTGATTAGAACATGGAGATTACATCATTTCGAGTATGAGTTTAGTGACTGTTTAGCTTTGAAGAAAATCCAATATTTGTGGTTTGAATGTGTTAAACCAGGTGACATACATGGACAATACAGTGATTTGCTGAGGCTGTTTGAGTACGGTGGCTTCCCTCCTAGTGCCAACTATCTCTTTCTTGGGGGCTATATGGACCGAGGCAAACAGAGTCGTGAAACGATACGTCTCACGGAGGTCCGGTTAGCTAGACCAGGGAAGCAAGTGGAGATCAAACAGCTCTGCACTACAGCTAGAGATGTTTTCCTTCAGCAACCCAGTTTGCTTGAGCTTGAAGCACCTATCAAAATATGCGGTATGTTTATCCAACTGAATTTTGACTCGTTGATTTTAGGCCGTCGGAATTTGATTTTAGGGTTCTTAATGTCCTCGACGTCTTGAAAATTGTGTGTAAATCTCAAGCTCAGGCGCTATTAGCGTGTTTTGGGATTGTGTTGTTGAATGTTGACCATTGTGAAACGTCCGTTTTCTTTTGAGGTTTCAAGCTTAACGTTAAGGCGTGTGGATAGGCAAATGGATGAATTTTGTAGGCCATTGATTGTTGTTCTGTAGCAATTAGAATCTGAGTGAGAAATGTTTTGGCTTTGAGTAGAGCGGCTAAGTACACGAAGTTATGTTGTTGCTATGAAATTCAAGTTTATATCCATGGAATTTTACTGGATCCTAGATACAGATAGAAATGTTGAAAATGAATCGAATTTATAATGCCAGATGATTCCCATTTGAGTATGAAAATTGTTTTTGTTGAAGAGAATGTTCTCTGATCAGAGTCTAGAGAACATGTTATTTCTTGGAAGTGTGATTGATTTGAATAGACGAGAGAATATGGAGATTACAGCAAGCATCTCCATGGAACTGTAGAAAACATCATTTCCACTATGAGCTTAATAACTGTTAACTTTAAGATTTGTGGTTTGAATGTGTTAAACCAGGTGACATAGATGGGCAATACAGCGATTTGCTGAGGCTGTTTGAGTACGGTGGCTTCCCTCCTAGTGCCAACTATATGGACCAAGGCAAACCGAGTCTTGAAACGATACGTCTCTTGCTAGCTTACAAGATCAAGTACCCAGGGAACTTTTTTCTACTAAGGGGAAACCACGAATGTGCTTACGACGTGCGCAAAAGGAGGTTCAATGTGAGAGTGTGGGAGGTTTTCACAGACTGTTTCAGTTGCCTTCCTGTTGCGGCACTCATTGATGACACGATATTGTGCATGCACGGTGGACTTTCGCCGGAGCTCAACCATTTGGATGAGATTAGAGGCTTGACACGTCCCACGATGATTCCTGACACCGGGCTGCTCTGTGATTTGCTCTGGTCTGATCCTGGTAAAGATGTTAAAGGGTGGGGAGCGAATGATAGAGGCGTTTCGTATACTTTTGGTCCGGATAAAGTCTCTGAGTTTCTAACGAAACATGACCTAGACCTTGTGTGCCGTGCCCATCAGGTAGATGTTTTGATCATCTCTCTCTCTCTCTGTTTGAGTCTACTGCTTTCGTGATGTTGAGAATGAGTTTTGTGATTGCAGGTTGTGGAGGATGGTTATGAGTTTTTTGCTGATAGACAACTTGTGACGGTGTTTTCTGCTCCTAACTACTGTGGTGAGTTTGATAACGCTGGTGCGATGATGAGCGTGGACGAGAACCTCATGTGCTCGTTTCAGATTTTTAAGCCTGCTGAGAAGAAGGCCAAATTCATGATGTCCACAAAGATTTGAGGTTAGTCAACAATCTGTCTTTAGCAAAACCAAACAAAACAAGTGAACGAAAGACTTCTAATGCAGTGATGATATGTTCATTTTCTTCCTTACGCAGGTGGTCTTGCTCGAGAGATTGATTCAAACTATTGAAGGGCTTTCAAGTGTGTGTTGATGGTAGTGACGACTCTTGGAAAGGAGCAAAACCTTAGTCTTTTAATCTCTTTTTTTCCCCAAATTTCACTTTCTGCACATTTTTTTTTTGTTTTTGTTTCTATCTGCTTTTGAGGGTGTTACATGATTTTTCATCTGCCTGTTGAAAAGCACATACAGTAGTTGGTGTGTACATGCGTATGAATCGTTTCTTGGATTTTATGGGCATCACACATGTCACATGATGAAACCAAAAGTAATATACAAGTGACATGTTCGTCTTCTTGCTGCTTCACGAATTTGATTCTTACCATCAATCCGCTCATTACTATATTGTTTAGATTTTGAATTCCTTGAAATTTAACATGGTATCGAAGCACAAGTTTAACCAAAGTAGGATATGTTGTCGATCCTAGGTTAAGATTAATTTGGTTCGAATTAGACGGTAAAATTTATCATCTTTGAAGAGATGTGTTAGGAATCACGCATTAGAAGTGTGCATGGTAGGACATATAGTACTATAATAATATAATATTGTGATACGGACTAATCCACTAGTTGTCCATTGGTTTTGACTTTTGAGTTGAAAGCATATGAAACATATAACAATAAAAAACTTTTTTTGAACCTTTGGTCCATTCACACTCTCATGTACCTTTTAATCATCAGAAAACAATAACAGAATATTTTATATCCCCAAGATTGTTTAAGATTCTTGAATGTGTGAGAATAGGATTAATCTTACTACTGAATATTACAATCTTGCAGTAAGATTGTTGGTGCTCGATCATACTACTTAGAGAAGAAAAATTACAATCTCACAGAAGATAATTCGGTGATTGACGTGATGGGACACGGTCGAAGACATAGCCTCCATTGTTGCCGGCAGGGAAATAGAGAAGGCCAGCTACTTTGGGCTGGCGGAAGGCACAATGAGAGGTGGTGTTCCAAACGCAAAGATCGCCGTCTACAAAATATGTTGGAGAATAAGAAACAAAAAAGGTAAAGAGGTTCTTGTTTGTCCACAACATAAAGCCTTGGAGGCAATAGAGGATGCCATCAAGGACGAGGTCGACGTAATTTCGTATTCTCAGGGGTTGGATTATCCGGTTCCAATGCACAAAGATTGTGTCTCGTGGGCATTTTTAAGAGCAGTTGAGAAAGATATTTTGATTTCAACCTCCGCCGGAAACTTCGGCCCTAACTACTACGCTGTGGTTAACGGTGCACCTTGGGTAATGACCGTTGCAGCGAGCTTGAAAGATAGATTCTTTGAGACTAAGTTGGAGCTGGAAGGAGAAGATAAGCATTTACTGTAAGTGAAACAAATAGGTTTCTTGAGTTTCAAGTAATCTCCTCATGATAGGTTTCTTGACTTAGAAGTGATCTCCTAATATTTTCAGGTATACAACACGATCAACACCTTCGAGACACAAGATTCTTTCTACCCACTTTTGTTAGAAACTGAATCAACAAGAAAACGCGAACTCATCGCTGAGTAAGTCATTACTTTTTTAAAAAATATTTAAAAAGTTATATGGCCTCTAAATTTTTCAGAAACCCTATTCAAGAACATCAGTATATATATAGTTTGACAAATTCTGATCGTGTTGTTTGATAAATGGAAATGATTTTTAATTTTCAATTAATTGTTGGAGCAAATATGATTTAATCTCGTCTAAACATAAGAACGACAAAGGAAAAGATGAATTCTTCGACATCTCAGAAATCACAATTTTGGACAAAGCGATTGAAGAGAGAGAGCAAAAGGTGTAATCGCAGTGGGTGGATTTAGCAACTATAATGAGTCTGAAAAGTTACAGTTTCCTATCGCTTCTATATTTCTGGACGACAAAATGGGAATTGGCCTATGGGACTACTATGAAGATAAAAGGTAAAGACATTCATTACGAGGACATCAATTTCTCCAAAAAGTTAAACATGACTAGTCCAATACCCGGTATACCCGCAGGTTTTTCTATATAAATTTTGTTTCCTAACATTTAAACTAATTACATTGTTATTTATATGATTTATGTGATGGTTTTTCTATACTCTTTCTGTTCCACTATATCTGATGTTTTAGGTTTTTCATATATATTAATATTTTATTATTAATAATTTTTCTTTTTACACCAACTACTTTTTTAAGAGTAATAACCAATATTAATTCAAGTTTTTAATTACTTTAACTTTTTTTAATTTTTAAAAATAAAAAGTAGCATTAATTGATGAAAAATAACCATAAAAATCTCAAACATAAAATAATAGGGAACAAAAACAAAATCTCAAACGTCAAATAATAAAGAACAGAGGGAATTAATTACATTAATACTTATATGATTTAAATTCTGGATTTTTATCATTATTTCTTCTGTACTTGTCCAGATGGGGTTTTTTTTGTTTCATTTTTTAAAAAATCATTCTGTTAGTAAAATGTTTTTAGTTTCTTCTAAATTCGTAAACTATATACCATAGATTTATACACCAAATTTTAAATATATATATTTGTTTTCCACAATTCCATTCATCCTCCTTTTTTTTGAAGTTATGAAATTATTTATTATTGTACTTTTTCAGTTTGAACTTTTAAATTAGGATAATATAATCTATTTGACCAACGCCTATAACTGATGACCATTTTATTGCAACATAGAGGGTGTAACTGATTTTTTTAAAATGGAATATAAGGAATTAATGGAATCAATTTGAATGGGATAGAAAAAAATGGAATGAAATAAAATTTATATCCCATTCATTCATGAACGTTTTTGGAGTGGATCAGTGAAGCACATAATACACAAATTCCACGGAAATTAACAAACGAAGCCTAAACAAATTCACGTTCTAAAAAACCATAGGAAGGAGAGTAAATCGTTTACCGAAGTGATAAGTTAACTTCATATGAGAAATGAAGAGCAGTTGCCATTTGGTAGGGAATTCAAAAGTCTCGAGAGCTCAGACTCTGAAGAAGTGGTACTATGCGTCAAGAATTTAGATCCATCATTACTGGTAATATATTAAACAGAATACTTGAGGCCAGGATTCCGTATATTAGCTTTCAACACTTGGTGAATATATGATCTTCCCCTACTATCCCCTCACTGCGAAGAACACCTAAAACGTGAATTTGTTGAGAACAGTAAGTAGGGTAACCATGTCTAAACCCAGACTTGGAACTTTGAAGAGGCATTGTAAGTTGGACTTAACCTAGCACCGTCATCTTCCAGTTTCAGAGAGCTTCTGTTTTCTTTGTTGATGTCAAATACATATTTATACATCTTTCTTTTCCTTCCCGTGTTACTGTTACGTAACGTATGCTCCTCTTCTACTAACTTTCTTTTACATAGATTTGCTACATAAATTTAGCATGACAATATATCAAGTTAACAGAGTGTGCAGTGGCAGAAGCAAATAATCTCTCGTAGATAACAATTCTTTGAAATATAGGATGGGCCTACAGAGAACCAAAACGCCTACGTTTTGTTACGTCCAGCAAGTGTGATCCTGAAGGGACAAATATTGCAAGCTAATTAAACTCTAGGAGTGGTTCTAGATCTAAAAATGAATAGATGATAAACAAACTCCTAGAGCATAAAGACCTAAATTCCATGGTTTAAAAATGAATAGATGATAACCAAACTCCTAGACCATCAAAGACCCATTTTGTATTAATCAAACAGAAAGAGCAACGAAAAACAAAATTAACATGTAACATCCAAATTAATTGCTCTAGGCGTTTTCGAACACTGTCTGACACACAGGGCGAATATATGTGCTATGCGGCTCCACCACGTATATACAGCGCCTGTACGTCCGCGTAGGGCGCGTTTTCGAACACTGTCTGACACACATGGACACGGTGGATGAATATTGAAGTCAGGTTGAGGAGTGATTGGGTCGACAAACTATATTAACAGCATATTAACAACTGTGGCAGTACTGTGCAGCTTAACGAATCGAAAAGAGGTTGACTACCTTGGACCATAAACGATCTTTGAAACTATGGAATATGCTCGGGATAATGAGTACACGATTGACAATGAAAAAAGAGCCAGAACGTTTGGAGGCCATCTGACCAGCACAGAAATGGAAGAGCGACGAAAGGACTTTGCTTCAATTGTGATGAGCTTTTCACATGAGAACATGTATGTAACCCAAAGCTTCTTCACATAATGCTAGTCAGGAAGGGAGATAATCAAGAGGATAAGCTATACGAAAATGAGAACTGGGTGGGCGCAAAAAGCTGCTAGAAGCAATCCTAGAGTTTTGAGGACAAGCTCCTAGTGGAGGAGGGGAGTAATGCTACAATTATCGGTTTTGGGTCTTTTTAATGGTTTTCCTTTTACAATTGGGTTAAGGTTTTGCTAATTTTCTTTTTAATTATGCTTAGTCGATTTGTATGAGGATCTTTATAATGACCTCTTATCTTATTACATAAAGTTGGAAGCGTGTGACGTGGTTGCGACACGTAAAATTTTATAATTTACAGGATCGGGATCGTGACATGTGTCACTTTTAATGTTATGAATGTTACGTCCATTAAGATCGTGACAAGTGTTTTAGGAAAAAAGAAAAAAAATTAAAAAATGTTAGAAAAAAAATCTTTTAGAGTAAAAAGAATAAAAATCATATTTGTCATATCCCAATAGAAAAAAGTTTATCATTCATTATATTATCCAAACACATATTAAAAATTCAAAATAATGTAATAAATAAAATCCTATTAGTACATTCAGAAAAAATCAGAAAAAGAAAATAAACAATTAAAAAGAAAAAAATATTACATATATTAGGAAAAGTAAAGAAAAACATAATCCTATTACGAAAAGAAAAAAAAACAAAAATCAGAAAAACATGAAGAAATAATTAAAAAATGTTACATCCAATAAGAAAAGGAATACAAAAGATATCCAAACTACGAAAAGAAAAATAAAAACCAATATATAAGAAGCTATATTTTTTTAAGTTTCTTTCTATTAAGGAATAAAAATTCATGTCTTTAAAAGTTAAATATATCAATGAAGAATACTTAACTATAGATCACTACATATGTCTAATATTTGATCAGGTGATGACATGTGTCAACACAAGAAAATTGGAAAAATATAGTAACATAAATAAATAAACTAACAAAATAATTGTAAAACAACTATAATAATGAAAATTTATAATGGTCAGAGGCGAAAACAAAATTGAAAAAGAAAAAATATAAATAGAAAACTAACAAAATAATTATGAATGAACTAAATAATATTAAAAAAGAAAACTTTATAATGGTCTGATCTTCTAATATTAAAAATAAAGACTTCATCAATATTTAAAATACTGATTTCATCAATGGAATAATCAAAATTTCATTATCGATTAGATTTAGATACATGTAAGTCTTTTTATTTCATATCATGAATTCGAAATAAAAATGAAAAAAGACTACATATTTTATTTTTGTAGAGATTTGTTATCGGGTTTTTAAGATTATTTTACTTATTTTTCAAAAGTGATCAAATTTTATTAATATTTTTCTGTGATTTTTTTTTGAAAATCTTAAAATAAACCCGTGTATACGTCGGGCCTAATCTAGTAATCAATAAAAAAGCAACTTCCAAGAATTAACCTTAAAGCTCCAAAGAGAGTTTAGGGTGAAGAAGAAGCGTAGCTACATCTTACTTAGATCTCTTTCAATATCTTTGTTCATCATAGAAACCAAGGTCCAATAACAAGAGCTAAGGCAAAGGCTTTGACTCATATCAATTTCAAACTCAGTGCTAAGAACACCTTGCTTTCCCATGTCACCGTGTCGGACTGCTCAATCTTGTTCGTAACCCAAATCTCCACCTTCAATGTATCTCATGGCTGAAACAAAACCGCGAGCTTCCCTCCTCTGACAACATATAGAATCACAGTATCTTCAAGCATGTGCTCTGGCAGAGGTAACAGCGGCCTAAATGTCTCTCTTGTGGAATCAAAACATAAAAATGTTTAACAGTAAGCATGCCAAACACTCCTTAAAAAAGGAACAAATCGTTAAAAGTTAAAAACCTCTTGAAGTAAAAAAAAAAGAAGAAGTTAAAACTCATAATGGGACCTCGATCTAACAGTAGAGAATCACGATGATCCCATTTAGGATCACATACCTCTCCACGTTCATTTTTCGTTCATTTTTCTTCTTAGTCTCAGTTTTTCTCATTTTTCTAGGTATGGAGAATCTTCAGTTGCTTCTTTTGGCGGAAGGAGATGAACTGGTATCAGCATCTACTGCTGTTTGGTTGAACAAGGATGATGTTCTTGCTCTTTACATAATAATTAACCTTTTAAT